AAAAAAAAAAAAAAAAAAAAGCAAATAACCAAAGACATAAAAAGAAGAAAAGAGATAAATATTCCCAAGAATCACAAATCAATACACAAGTAAAACTTCAATTCAACAAAACTCACAATGCCATTCAATCATAACTTGAAAACATATACTTTGTGAGTCGAAGAAGTCAAACGTGTCCCTCAGCTCCGAGTCGCACACCTTTCTGGTCAGGCTTCATCCCCATGGATAACCGCAAGTCCGGATTTTCCATCTTCTGCCACTCAACTCCGAGAATAGGAAATCCTAAAGGGCAACACAAAATAATTCGTGGGGGACAAAGGATTGGATGGATAATTATTGAAATGATAGAAGATCTTTTCAGAAAGGGTGATTAAAATTGAATTCAAAATACAATCCATTTTAATGAGTCACCTAGTTTCGGTAGTCATAAGCACCCTCATGCTCGATAGTCACCTAGTTTCGGTAGTCATAAGCACCCTCATGCTCGATATGACCTATTTTTTTATGATTAATAAATAAATTTGGAAATATGAGCTCTTTCGTTGGAGAATGATAACGAATGAATAATGACAGCAAGATTTTTTAGTTTGGGTAGTTATATTACTTACCTCAGCTGACACACTTCGAGTATTATAGTTATCATCCCAAATCCCAATACAAAGTACATATTCTATAAAGCTGTTGGACGCTCAGAATCTATAGATATCAAACAATGTCAAGTGTGAGAGAAAAACGACTTTTTGATGAAGCAACAAATTTTTTTTTTCGTGTTTAGTATATTTTTACACGAGTGAAATAAATGACTTACAGGACACAAATCATTGGTGATCTCATCATACGATATTTTGTACTTCTGATGTATAACCTGCATATCAAAAGGAGAAAAAAGAACAAAAAATGTTCAAACAAATACAATACCAAGGTTTTTACAACGCAAAAGAAAAAAGAACAAAAAAATGTACTTTAAAAAAAAAGGACACTCACTAAGAAGCCGACAACTTGTCTGATGTGTTTCAGTTCATCCCAAGCTAACCCTGCATACTGGGCTCCAATAAACATTTTGTCAATGCTAAGAATGAAATAACTGACTGAAAAAAGAACATAATCAAAATTACTCTTTAATATGATCATATAAGCATATATTTATTCTTTACCTCTTCTTTTGCCCGGCCAGCCCAGCTTTGACGTAATCGCCATTGCTGAAAGTACAACACTCACGCCGTAGAAGAAGGCTGAAAAACGATAGATTAATGTTTTTGTAAAGTTAATAATAATTTTTTTCTCGGATGTTAAAAAGGTGCAGAGGAAAAACAATTCGAAAGTTTAAAATTCCTTTATTGACGTAACCTGTTAAAGAGCTGCACTTTCACATACGAAAATGTTTGAGTAAATATCTTCTGTATGAGAACAGTGGGAACCTGGAAAACAACAATTTATGTTATAATACGTAAATTTCAAATGGTATAGACATGAACTTGAACCGGTTTATAGTCATACAAAATTTTGTTTGAGTATACTGAGAAGAGTCGAGGAATATTTTCCAAAAGACCGTCCTGACCTCAGTCGCCATCAGCCTGCGGCTGCTGGTATTTTGAAATTCAACAAAGCCCTCAATTGACCCTTTTCGTCCCCGTCGAGGTTCATAAGTGCAGTCCGCCACCGACCGTCAACTATACCTCAGGCGAAAGAGAACAGTAACATAAGCATCAACATAAAAAAATGGCAGTGCCTCATTGACGAATAAATTGCTTAACAACATTGCCTATCCCTTGGAAGTTGGAACCACTGATTTCTTGTTTTCGTTTGAGTTATCGCCAAAACCTGCAACTGTTTAACATTTATATGAGTGTCTAAGACAAAAAAAAAAAGTGTAGCCACAAATACTTACAAGATTTCTCGAAATCGGCCATGCTGAAGAAAGGCCGCCTCCTTTCCTCCATGCATAAAATAGAGCTTAAGATCTAAATATACGATTACACACATAAAAATTGTGAAGCACATCTAATGTAAAAAACTGTGAAAATAACACGTAGGGCAAAACGGGAATGAAATTGAAAATTACTCAGAAAAAACATGTTGGGGTGGCAAGACGGTAGAAGAAAATACGCCGGAAATCCATTTATCTCGATCCTCTGGAGACGAAATCAATCGGAGTCAATAGCCACACGCGTGACGTGTATGTGTGTATATATGTGAATGTAAAAAGATTTTTATTTACGTACCTCTGTAATTCGATGTAAATCGGGTGCGATTCTCGCTTAACAATTGGTATTTTTATACAATAATTATAATAACATTAGCTTGTGGCGGAAGAAGCTCGAGCACCAGAGCCGGCTATCCAACGGGCAGATGCAAAATCCCATCATGTACACAAAGATGTTTCCCAGCTCTGACGATTTTTTTCCGGCAGGGTGGTGCTTGACATGTCTCAACAACCCAATTTTCTTGGAAAAAACCAAAACCAAAATGACAAACCTAAAAAAAAACGCAAAAGGAAAAAATCTGCCAAAAATAAAATGAACAATACCAAATTGCAATCGGTCTTCGCCATCGCTGTCTCCTTCCTTCTATTCTCCTCCTTCGTCCCCACCGACCTCCGAACGGAAAAATCTCATGATTTGGACTTGCAGTGAAGAAGAAATTCGGGCTTCCTCCGTCACGGAATCGAATATCCCGACATCGGTCTTCAAGGATCTGTAGCTAATCTAAAGAGCGGGCCCCACCCGAGCCTGACTTCGAAGTTGATGGAGAGCTTGTGGCGATCACCGACGGTGATCTCGGCGGAAGAGAGGTGGACGCCGAGATGGTTAGGGGAAAGGCCTTGAGAATTGGGGGTTTATTGAACGAAGATTTCATTATGTGGGTTTATTTCTCGAGATAATAGCGGCGATTTTTAGCAGAGGTGTGTGCTTAATTAAGATGAGATAAGATTATGGCCAAAAAATTTCACCATATCTTTAACGATAAATAAAATAATCAGCAGGCATATAGGGAAAACAATGAAAAAAAATCTTCCAAAAAATTTGAATCGCACATTGGGCGGGCTTATTCAATTATTTGTCAAAAATCTTGCTCATTATAGTAAACTTTAGGCGGGAATTGAAATCTTTTTTTGCTGATTTTTTACATGATTTTTTCAAAAAACTATCATTCCCTCTTTATATATTAATAGATTCTTTTTCATGTTAAAAATGAATTAAAAATTGAAATTTTTTATTATTATTTTTTAGTAAGGGCAAAAAAGAAATTTTAGGGTGCGGTAAATAGTAAATTTATGTGCGGTAAATAGCAACACCCAAAAGATGTTATAAATACATATTTACTTTAATTCCTCTTTTTAGTAAGGGCAAAAGAGGAATGTAAATGTTATCAAAATGTAACTGTAACCTAAAAAGAATCTATATATATATATATATATATATATATATATATAATTGGTAGCAAAGCAATTAATAAAACCTCATTTATTTTCTATCCAAAAGATGTTATAAATACATATTTACTTTAATTTTATTTTTCATTTAATTAAAACTTTAAACAACTCAATAATAAATGAATATGTATTTAATTATATATATTAAATATGTATTTAATTAAACAACAAATAAGTGATACTGTGAAGTATAATTAAGTTATTCTAACTATAAGTTATGTAAGACTAACGAATTTCATGTTTGGCCAGGAATGCTATTTTATTTAAAATATAATAATGTGTTTATGAATTATTTAAAAGAAAAAAAAAACTAAACCGACTTTCTAAAATTATTATACAGATAATTTGTTAATTAATAACCGTTTATGATACGGAATTGTACATAATTCCTATTTAGAGAATTAATCCAATTCCAATGAAATCTCGGCACCTTCACTGGCACCGACTTACGTCACCACTCATCATCCTTTTTCTAACACAGAAAAGGATTCCTAATCCTAGTGGAGACCAAACAGCCAACACCAACTCCATTACGTGGCACTTTCTTATTGGCCCGAATACTCTAGCTATTTCCGAGCTTTAACCCAAACCCGCACTCTATAAATAGAACCCCTCACACCATGAAAAATCCATTGATCATAGTTTATAGTTGACACCGAAAAAATCAAATTAGCAAGAATTATTACAGTTGTTAATTAATTACTAATACTACTTCATGGCTTTCAAGGATGTGGCTATCTGCTTTCTTCTACTCTTTGCATCAGGTATAACTCCACATGCAAAGCGTACGTTATTATTTCGTGGTTATTTTAATTTAATTCATCAATTGATCATTGTTAATAATATTTTGGCTCCTTTGGTTAAGAATTCTGTGTAGGCATAGCTAATGCTGCAGATCGAAATTTGGGAACGGTCATTGGAATCGATCTCGGGACAACTTATTCGTGTGTGGGAGTCTACAAAAACGGCAAAGTCGAGATTATAGCCAACGATCAAGGCAATCGAATCACCCCTTCATGGGTCGCATTCACCGACACCGAACGTCTCATTGGGGAGGCCGCCAAGAATCAGGCGACGGTCAATCCCGAACGCACTATTTTCGATGTCAAGCGACTCATCGGACGAAAGTAAGTGTGTAATATTCTCCTTTTCCTTTTCTATCCTTGATTGAATGAGAAAAGTACTCTAAACTAAAGGCATGTTTGGTGTTTGGTGTGTAGGTTTGACGACCCGGAGGTGCAGAGGGACATGAAAATGTTGCCGTACAAGGTTGTGAACAAAAACGGCAAGCCTTATATAGAGGTGAAGTTGAAGGATGGGGAGACTAAGGTGTTTAGCCCGGAGGAAATTAGCGCCATGATACTTCAAAAGATGAAGGAGACGGCAGAGTCGTTCTTGGGAAAGAAAATCAAAAGTGCAGTTATCACTGTACCAGGTGACGATTAACTTCATCAAACTATCCCACTTGCGAATCTATATATACATATATAATTGTTGGCAAGCTTCAATAAATTTTATTAATTATACATATATAATTGTTGGGAAGCTTCAATAAATTTTATTAATTCAACAGCAATTAATAAAAATAGGACTTCATTTAATAAAAATCCAATAAAAATCCTTATGACCTGCAGCATTCAAGATAGTTACACAACTAAAACCTTATTAGTATTAATTTTTTATTCTGTAACAATTTTACAAGATTTATAATCAAAAAAAATGTAGAAGTTAAATAAAAAAAAAAA